ATAACATTCGAATAGCGATATCTTGTGATCCTATGATTCGAATCACATGATTTTGGTACCATTCGACTCGTCTCATCAAGACGAATCGATTGATACCAAAATCGTTCGTTTCTGGCTAGTGGATCACGAGATATGACGAGTGCGTCATAATTAGTCTTGCGCCATAATACCCCCCTTTACCTTATATAAAAAATAAAAAAACCAATGATAAAATAATGTGTAGTATAGCTTCGTTAGTTAATTATTCTTATAGTCACATGATTTGATTTTTATATATGGTTATTATACGGTATAGTAACCTGGTATTTGTACCAAATCTTATTATACTGTATAATTTCCATCTCTATCCACCATGCTTTTAAAAGGCATCATTTGCACAACCGAATATATCATTGGCCAGAATATATGTATGCTTTTTTTTTGCTTGATTTTCTTTTTCATATACTGTTTTTTCTATTTTTTCGCCAGCCTTTTCATCAGTTAAAACTTCCTCATTTTTGTCTATATTTAGTTTTTTTGCAAGTCTCTGAATAGCATATTGAATTAAGTCAACCTTTTTTAATAAGTTGATATAAAGTTATTTATGATAAATTGTTAAAATAATAAATATGCTAATGATAATAATACATTTTTTGGATCACATGCAAATATACTAACAATTTTTTCTTCGGGTTGTTCAGGAAAAAGACGGCTAATCATTTGAGATTTAAGACCAAATATCCTAGTGAGATATTTATCATAAAATTTAACACCTTCCACTGGATTCAGATCTCCTTTTGCATTATTCAAATCTTGCCAATTGACAATTATGTCATCTTTGCTTAAACCACTGTGATAGCTAGCAATTTCAAATTCATTGAGATGATCCTGTAAACATTGGCAATAACATCAACATTATAAATTTAAAGGATTTTATGAAACCGTTTTTGTAATGAAATAAGCAAACATGTTACTCTCGTAATGTGCGGCGGGATCAAACACTCATTTACAAACTTATATAATTTCCTCTGGTTAAGCTGTTTAATGATTTCTTTTGATTCTTTCAATTCCTAAGCATAATCATTTATAAGCAATCACTGTTAATTATAATAAAAAAAACAAATGAATCTGAATATTAAATACCTGCCTTTCTGAATAATCTGAATATTAAATACCTTACTTTCTGAATATTCTATTTCATCTAAAATTGAATCATTCAATTTGATATATTCGTCACGATTAAAAATTATATTCTCAAAATGGTATTTTGGATTTGCTTTTAGAAGCATATCTCTTATCATAAAATTAATTGCTCTGGCTAATATTAATATTGGTCAATAACTGGTTAATTATAATCATAACGATAATAAATTTGTCTGTAATAACATACTGACGCGATGGTTATATATTTTCTCGTGTAAAGTATATCGTGTGTTAAACATACTGTTGTTAGGCAAAACTATTTTTGGCAAATGGCAAAAGTCGAAACTAAATCCGGCAAAAGTCAAAACTGGCAAA